GGAGTTCAGTGTGGCCACATCCCACTGGGAGGGGGGGGGTCCTTTGTCTGTCTGTCTGTCTCTCTCTCTCTCTCTCTCTCTTTCTCTGGCAAGTATACATGCCCTCTGGCAATGAAAACACAAATAAATAAAATAAATTCTCATCCTACCCTTTTTTTTTCTTGAGAGGTTTTTGCTATAGGGCGCATGTGCTCGCCAGAAAGACAGAGAGAGAGAGACAGAGAGACAGGAAGCGAGAAATCACCCCCCAGAGGGGATGGCCACGCCGCAATCCCTTCTCCTCCATTCTCTTCTCTGGATCTTGGGCACTCATGCACACACTGCCAGCATGAGTTTAAGCCACCGGGTCTGGGACTCGAACCATGGTCGACTATATGGGAGTCCAGTGACATAGCCATTATGCCAACTGCTGGTCCCCATATAAAAATATTTTATATAATTTCATATTGCTTTTATTCCTGTTCATTTTGTTAAGAATTATTTTATTTAACTTTATTTATTCATTTTTATTTATTTTAATTTGACCAGAGAGGGACACAGTAAGAGAGAGAGAGGGAAAGCAAGAAAACATGCCACCAGGTCCAGTACGTGAACTGCTGTGGGCCATGTGAGAGTCCGGCACCCTTAATCATCACGCCACCTGCTGGCCCCCTCCTGTTTCTTTAAAAAGAACATAAAAAACATTTCTAGGGACCAGATAGTGTAATGGTTACGTCACTAGACTCCCATGTAGTCAACCATGGTTTGAGTCCCGGACCCAGTGGCTTAAAATTCATGCCGAGCACATGTGCGTGTATAGCCAAAATCCCAAGAGGAGAATGGAGAAGGGATTGAGATGTGGCCTTCCACCCAAGGAGTGATTTCTCATTTTCTGTCTGTCTCTCCAACAAGTGCACATGCCCTGTAGCAAAAATCTCTCCTAAAAATAAAAAAATTTCTAGCAAGATGTATTTAATAAATAACTGATGTTTTTCATATCGCCACTAATACATATAATTACAGATCTAGGGGGTTGGACAGTGATGAAAAACAATGTCTTGCGAAGCAGATCCACACAGCAAGATTCGGATTCATGTTCCAAGACCTTCCTAAATGTGCAAGGCACATGCACGCCCATGATCCAAGACTGGCTAAAGCCAGAGGTGGATGCCAGTGTCAAAACTCTGTTGGGGGACCAGCAGGTGGCACAGTGGTTGAAGCACTAGACTCCCACATGGTTGACCACAGTTCAAGTCCCAACCCTGGCTGCTTGTTTTCTCAATTTCTCTGTTTCTCTCTGGTGAGTGTCTGTATCAAGTTTTAAAAATTACGATGATAAATAAGATTAAATAATTCTTTAAAAAATATTTTGGGAGTGCTGTCTCACCGTCTCTCTCATGGAAGAAAAAAAACAAACAAGCTAAGACTGATCGTGTTTTACATTTGTTCGCTTTAATGTCTTGAGATGCTTGTTTTCAAAAAAAAAAAAAAACATTAGAAAGTTGAACACACGATACTTCTGAGATTCATTTTATCAGCCAGCAAAGTAATGCTGACTCAGCGTTGGTTCACAGGAGTTGAGTACATTTTCTCTTCCCAACTCTCACACTGCCAGTCTGGGAGCTGACCTGATTTGGGGGAGAAACATCTCAGCAGGCAAGGTGAAACGAAAGCAAGAGAAAATACTAAACAGCTGCATTACTAATGAAACTACGGCATGGGGCCAGCAGGGGCACGGCAGCTAAGGTGGCACTGGACTTCCACATGGCCAACCGCAGTTCACGTCTCAGACCTGGTGGCTTGAAAATCACGCCGGGCACATGTGCACGCATGCCCGAAATGCCAGGAGGATGGAGGAGAAGGACTGCAGCGTGGGCGTTCCCCCTGGGAGTGACTTCTCACTTTCCCTCCCATTGGCTCTCTCCTCTCTTGAGCGAGCACACACACTCTATGGCAAAAATCTAAAAAGAAAAAGTTACAAAAAATGATAGCATGGGGCCACAGAGCACCTCAATGTGGACAGTAGTACAGTCTATGCATTTAATCGAAGGACACTCGTGGGGCCAGCAGGTAGCATGGTGGTTAAGGCACTGGACTCTCACACGAGGGACCGTGTTTTGAGTTCGGGGCCTGGAGGGATACTTTGTCACTTTTCCTCGCTCTCTCTCTGTCTCTCTCTCTGGTGAGCATACATGCCCTATAACAAATTAAAAAATAATAGTAATAAATAAAATTAAACAATAATCATTCTTTTTTTTAAAAAAAGTAAACCTCGTAATCAGTAAATGATATTCCAAAATATTTCACTGGTTTAAGAGATTTTTTTTTTTCTTTTCGAAGTTTTTGCCTTAGGGTGCATGTGCTTGCTGAAGAGAGACAGAGACAGTGAGAGGGAAATTTCCCCCGAAGAGGATGGCCATGCTACAATGTCTTCTCCTCCATTCTTGGGCATGTACCCACATGCACTCGGTGTGATTTTCAAACCACTGGGGCCAGGACTCGAATCATGGTCAGCTATGTGGGAATCTAGCTATGTAGCTGCTGTGCCATCCCCTTCTGGGGGATGATTTCTCACGTTCTCTCTCACTATCTCTGTCTCTTTCTCCAGAGAGCGCACACACCTTAAGTCAAAAACATCTAAAAAGAGAGAGAGAGATTTTAATGTTTAAAGCATCCTAGTTTGAGTAAACCATATATTAGACACAAGTTCTTGGTTGTTTTAAACAGCCACCCCTTTGAAGATCCCTGGTCGTCAGAGTATAGAATTACAGTGTATGAGTCAGCCTGAAAATGATAAAAGCTCCAAATCACTCACCACCTATTTAAGCCTGAGGGTTTTTGGCAAAATATTCCCAGGAAAATCATTCATCTGACCCAGAAATTAACCCATGTATAAATGCGTCCCACCGTCACCAAGGATGGAGAGTTTTTAGTCATTTAATGAATGCTGGCATTCCAGTCTGTTCTGTTGCTAATAACATAAAATACTGAAACTGGGTGATTTATAAGAATAGAGGTTTCAAGGCCAGCAGGTGGTTTAGCGGTTTAGGCACTGGACTTCCATGGAGCCGACTAAGTTCGAGTCCTGGCCCCAGCAGCTTAAAAAGTCATTGAGGGTGCATGTCCATGCACACGTAAAATCCTGAGAGGAGAATGGAGGGGAAGGTGATTTCTCTCTCCCTCTCTCTGACTCTCTCTGTGTCTCTGGCCAGCACATGTACCCTATGGCAATAA